CGTGGGACTCACAATGGCCCCATTCTGGTATGGACCTCTGTCTTAGAGTGTCGCCGTACTTCATTCCAACAAATTGATAAGTGGGGTGGTGGAAATGGGCCCAATTGGTTGCGTCGTACGGGTTTGTTATGAATTATGAAAGCGATAAACTGGCACGGTCAGATAAGCCCTCGAGGGTTCATGATTGCACGGTCGTGCAATATACGTGCGAGCGTTGCACGTTCACACAGTCAGAGCAGCAATTGAGCCGTTGGACCGTTGAACCGCCGAGACAGGGCGCCAGCCGGACTACGTACCGTTGGTTTCAACTGGGTGAATCAAGATAACACCTCCGCCGTCGTCATGCCAAGATATCCGGCTTATGACGCGCTGCTAGCCGAGTATGTGAAATTTAAATGTGAGACGAGTGCGGAAACCCAGAGAGAAATTGCCAGAACGACATGGCGCTGTGAAGGGTGTATGTACTTATCGATCGAGCGCAGGTGTTCCTCGATAGCTTCGATCCACGCTATGATGGAACCTTGGAACCCTTCTCCGGTGCTACGCAGACATCCTTGTACGTGCGCAAGGGCCCACATCCCATGCAGCCGGGATATCATCTCCACTCAACACCCAATGTTATCGTATGACGGGGAGGGAACTGCTGAACGTGTTCCCTGGTGTTGAACCTCGGTTGGTGAGGTAAGCTTATCATTCTTCAAGGGTCAGCCCAGAGTGTCTACAGTACCTAGGTACAGCCTCAACGTGTGACCAACCACTACTGATAACCTAGCATCTTCAAGCTCGATGTCTCCGTTAGAGAGCTTGTTGCTTCCCGCACGCCATAATCGATTCGAATTGAGCAAACGACATTAGCCGTCTGCCGTGTTGCAGAGAAGCATCACGATCCACAGTTCAAGGCGGCAATCGGCATGTACCGCGCAATGCCGGCACGTTGAACATCGAGACGAAGCCTCAGCTGTGGCTGCCATCACAGTCAATCTAGATCGTCAAGCAGCAGGAGGTATTGCCAGGAAAGACGACAGAATGTCACTACACCAATGCGATTGGCCAATGCAAGTATCTGGAGAAAATTGGAGAAGAAAAGCTTGCATCTAGACAAGGATAGACGTGCAGCTTAACGAACCTCCACTTGCCTGTTGCGAGACGAACCAGGGATCTTCTCTACACCACACAAGACATCTCTACATAATTGGAGCCGCGAAAGAAATTTGTCGCATGATTATTCCTTGCACACAACCTTCTCTTCAGTACGATAACAACATGTCCCCGCATCTATCTGGTCAATGAGAGACAACAGCGATGAATACTCATCAACCGTCCCCACACGATAGCTCTTGCGGCCGCCGGCCACCCGTCGCAGGGACCTGGACCCATTGCCGAAGTGGAGCTTCATCATGCCCATCCCGTGGAGCCGCGGTAGTGCTGGCTCAATTGAGCGCCTCCGAGGAGCTACACGACTCTCGTCGTGCTAGACGATGGAGACAAAGTGAGTCAGACCAAACATGATGAACTTGATATACGAGAACGAAGGATGAAGGCAGCCGTTAGTCTCGTCACTAAGTCTCTCTTTTTTTCAAATCACAAGTCCTGAAGGAAATGAGTGGCAATCCCACATATCCAAGTACACGAATTTGACCATCGAGATGAGGTTTCTGCAAATAAATCCGCCAAACCAATCCATATCCTCTCAAAGGATCGATATGCATACCCGAGTTCCACGGAGCTACGGCACTTGTCCGCCACATTGGCGATGCTTGTATCAACATCTGCATGCACGTCTGCGCGTCTCCATTCCATGCTGTTAGTACTGCGTCTTGAAAGGTCGCGTGCTCACCTGCCTATACCGGCTCCGCTATGACGAGCAGGGGTGCTGCATATGTAGGATCGCTAGAACGCCGTATATGACATCGCGCTTGCATGATCCAGACCCAGACGTTTGGAACGTTTCTGCCACTTGCGATGCGTGTGTTGCCCACGTGGGTGATCGGTGTGGTTTTCAGGGCTTGAGTGTGGCATGTCGGTTCGAGTAATTGTGAGGATTCGAGGTGTAATACTGCCGGTGGTAGGGGTTGAAATCGACTCAGAATTGAGGTTTGTGGGGCGCTTCGCTTGCTTGCTTGCTTCTTGCTGCTTCATGTGAAGGACGAGTTGCTTAGATATCGGTTACAAGTACGATTGGCCTTGATAGTGGATCACAGGTAGATAAATTGGCGATCGCTGATACTGCCAATGATGATATAATAGTCTATGCGTCAACAGATGTGATCCCGATGGCTCATTGCGTTGGGGAAAATCCGTGGTGCAACAGTCCCTACGTGCTTGTCAGAAAACGTGAGCAGTCTTCAAAAAGTACGCAATATACGCACGATATCATTCCAGCGCACTTCGTGGAACGACATGCACACTGAAGAATCTCAGCACTTCATCATCGCCCAAAGCTTTACACCTTCACCCCCTTCTTGGCCCCTCCCTTCACCATCAACCTTCCCCTTTCCCACAACAATCTCCTCCAGCAACTGGAACCCCAGATGTGTATACACATCCCTACTCCTCGGTGACGTAGATTCCAAAACCACAGGCCACCCCTTCTCCCTCGCCATATCAAGGACGGGGCGAATGAGGTCACTGACTTTAGCTGGGTTTGAAGTAGAGGGGTGAGTGCGGTCGTTTGCTAAAAGGACTAGATGTAGCATGTGAGTTGTCTGGGGAGGGATGAAGCGTTTCCGGACGTGATGAGCGAGGGAGTTTAGTTCTGTTACGGCGGGTGGGTTGTGTGGTTCTTCGGTGTAGTTTTCTGTTACTTCTTCTAGTGTCCTGCATAACACATCGTTAGTATGTTCCAACCTCAAAAACCTGCCAATATCCTTCTTCTCAAATGCTACCTTTCTCGAAAGAGAAATATCTCATGATGATATATCTTGTACTTACCAAACACTAGCCACCCCACTCCCAGGAACCGTCATACACCTCGCTCCCGCCTTGATGAAATCCGGCACGATAAACGCAAAAACCTCCTTGTTCATCTCTTCTCCAATGTCTGTTTTGCCAGAACCCTGCATTTCATCCAGGAGGATATAGCGTTGAAAAGCGTCGGGTTCGAATTGCTTGGCGAGAATTTCGATCGTGTGGTCTAGCGTGTCTTCTGTGAGACCAGCGGGAACGGGGATTTGCGACATTGTGCTGCTAATAAGAGGTTCTTACGAGTTGAATGTAGGCTTCGGGAAAAGATTGTGGGTGTTGTTGCAGATGGAGGTACATGGACTTTTGGCAGTATACTAGTAGTTGATGGGGTCGGTCCGAATTTTCAACGCTCCGGTCCGAAGTTCACTACATTATGAGCCGGCTGGGCAACGTGTATTGCGGTAAGTATTAGACGTCGCTAGCTTCATCCGACAGGTTGCTCGCTCGTACGAGGCTTCCGCGGGCCCCGCAGCGGTACCTGTTCACTTGTCATACGCTGTAACATACTCGAACGACTGGATTTTGTTGTGGGGCAGGACCTGGGGTAGGCCGTGCATGACATGTATACATCACGCGTAGTACGTCTCACGTTGTGTCGAAGAAGAGGGTGTTTGGTCTCAAATGAATGAAGCGCTCCGATTTGGAATGCCGTCTTCTGCCTTGATTGAACGCCATACTATACACGTAGATTAAACGCCCGCATATGTTGACACTGAACAAACTTGGTACCGCCCGCATTTCAAGACGTTTAACCTGGAGGGAGCAGACTGTTGTCGACAACATCCTGCGCCTCCATTTCCTCCACGTCGGCACTGTTATGTAGCGGGGAGCGCGGTAGAGCCATGAGGCCTGTGTGTGGTTAGCAAATCGGCCATGCCTGAACAACCCACGGTGCTTACCAGTTCTTGCGGACTCCAGGATACCGAATGGAGCAATCAGCTTCATGAATGAGTCAATCCTGGTAGGCTTCGCGGAAACCTCTACTATGCAGTTGTTTGTGCTAATGTCGAGCACCTTTCCACCGAATTGATGAGTCATGAAGGTAATCGCGCGAAGATGTTCGTGCTTGTGTCGGAGCGCCTGGCTGACGGGCAGATTGGTCGGGTGGTAGTCTTTCCGCAACGACTCGCGAGCAGCCTCCTGTGCCATTGCGTTGCGCTCCTCATCCGTCATGTCTGGTTCGTATTGCTCCTCCATCTCCGGGGTCTGAGCCATTTCCCGGTGGTGCGCAAGCAGCTCCTCAAAGTACTCCGGGCCGAGGATCGAGACCTTGGCGAGGAGCAGTTCGCGCTGGACGAGGGGCGACTGGGTGTAGTCAAGCACAGCCCATACTGGGACCAGGTCCTCGAGCTGGCGGCGGGCTTGTTCTATGACACCATCCTGCCCCTGCAACACAATTGTCATGCGGGAGAGATCGTCCACCTCGGTGTTGCAGACGACCAAACTGTCGATGTTGAAGCCGCGCGCAGCCAGGATACCGGACACGCGGGACAGCACACCGGGCTCGTTCTGCACCAAACAGTTGAGGATGTGGCTCTTGGGCGGAGCTTGGGATGGAAGCGGCGTTTCGTAGAGGATGTTGCTGACGGCAGCGGGCGCCGACCACGCCGGGGGACGGTCTTCGGTGGGGAGGGGCGCGATGCGACGGTGAAGGGCCTTGTAAGCCAGCGCCTGGGTCGACGAGGAGCTGGATGCCCGTTGTTGCTGGCGGAGGGAGGCGGCGCATTGTCTGTTGAGCAGACTGCGCAGCGGCAGCATTGCTCTCCGGGAAGCCATGGCGGGCAGTGGTCGCGGTGAAGGCGAGTAGGCGGGGAGTGACTGCGGATGTGGATGGGCTTCACGTCAAACTGCCCCAGAAAGTGAAATAGAATCCCCGGCCGATTGTCGGAGGAGCCACCAGGCCACGAACAGGCAGGTTCAGCCGCGGCACGTCAATAAGCGAGTCGCTCCTGCCAGAGGCTAAGATTCATCGACAAACACCAACCAACCCGAGCCTCACCCGCAACACGACAACTATCGCTACAGCCACACGCATCATGTCTGAGGAACGCCGCCCCCGATCGCGCTTTGACAGCGACGATGCCGAGCGCCCTGTCCGCTCGCGCTTCGACTCAGATCGTCGCTCCAGGTCGCCGTCGCGGAGGGAATCCGAGTCGCATCGCGCCCGTAGCCCTATCGCCCGTGAAGGCACAGACAGCCCTGCATCGTCCAACTTCAAGAACGAGGCGGCAGCAAAGGCGGCGGCGGCGGCTGCGAGGATCAACGCGCAGATTCAGGCGAAGAAGGGCATCCAGCATGTCGACGTGCCTCCGATTCGCTCTGTCAGTTCATCCATATCTTTCCAAGCATGACAAAACTAACAGCCCAGGCCGCTACTCCTCCAGTCGCCAAGTCGCCCGCCTCAAACTCCGCCGCGGCCATAAACAACGAGACGTACCAGCAGGATGGTGACTACATCAAAGACATTGAGATCAATGATCTCCGTAATCGCTATACACTGACCAAAGGAGCTACACAAAAGAGGGTAAATAACTGTTTTTGCTGTCCACTGATCATGTAGGATCATGCCTTCTCCATGCTCTGCTGCGCTGCACCTGGTGCGTGTGCTGCGGGGCTGGAGTTGGTCTCTGTTTGCGCATCTCTCTATGAGAGTCAGAGCTTACTTGATCTAGCACCCCACCCCATTTATCAAATGCTAACCTCCATGTGCCATCTAGATCAAAGACGAGACTGGCGCCGGTACGCATCCCCGATTACAACCATTAACCTTTAGAATACCTGCTTATACATGCAAGATGTCACTACTCGCGGAGAATACTACCCTGACAAGAACATGGCCACTGCTACTGTAGGTGGACACACAGAGTCTCGTCGACAAAGCTAATGGGAACAGAACCCGCCGCTGTACCTCCGCATCACTAGCACCTCCAAAGAAGGCCTGGACAAGGCTGTCGAGATGATCGAAGAGATGATGAAAGAGGACCTTCCTAACCTTGTAGACGAACGTCGTTTCCGCCGTAGAGAGCCGGAGAACTTCGAGCGCGACGAGTTTGGCAGAGTATGTCGCCCTGTCTGTTATCCAACATGTTGCTAATTCTTCCCAGCGCAAGTGGCCCGAAGAGAAGATTTCCGTAGGTCTCGAGCCTATCAGCGGCTTTAACTTGCGCGCACAGGTTGTCGGTCGCGGTGGCGACAACGTCAAGTTCATTCAACAGGAGACAGGCTGCAAAGTCCAGATCAAAGGTCGCGGTTCCGGCTTCATGGAGCCGAACAGCGGACAAGAGAGCGACGAGCCCATGTACCTCCACATCGCGTTCGTATACCCCGCCATTCTTACCCTCCAATTACTGACAGATCGTAGTGGACCCCGTCCCGAAGGCGTAGCCCAAGCCAAGCAACTCTGCGACGAGCTCCTCGACAAGGTAAAGTCGGATTACCACGCTTACAAGGAACGCCCTCCACCGAACCGTTACGGCGACCGAGATGGCTATGGCGGTGGACGACCGGGATACGGCGATCGTGGCGACCGTGGAGATCGCGGTGACCGTGATGGTCGCAGCCAGAGCTACGGATACGGTGGAGGAAACGGAGGAGGCGGCGGCTACGGTGGCTACGGCGCTCAGGGTCAGAACGGTTACGGCGGCCAGGACACAATCATGTCTCCTGCTGCTGCAACGCCGACTGCTGATGCTAACAACCAAGCCTACGACGCCAATGCGGCACAAGCATGGATTGCCTACTACCAGCAGAACCCAGAAGCTGATCCTTATGCCGCCTACGGTGGGTATGCAGCGTACCTCGCACTTCAGCAACAGCAGTATGCCGCGTACTATGCTCAGAACGGTTATGGCCAGACGCAGTCGCCTGCTCCCGGCGCTGGCGCGGCTGCACCACCACCGCCGCCGCCTTCAGAGCCATCCGGCTACGCTGCTCCTCCGCCGCCTCCACCAGCGGCATCGCCTTCCAACTATGGCGCCGTTCCTCCACCTCCCGGTTTGTAAGTCCGAAGCAACGACTATGATTTCGCGCTTACGACAGCCATTCAAATTGACTTGATTGATCGAAACTAGTCCGATTTGCCTTTGCATATTGACTGACGGCGGGTGTGGTGGATTGGTTTGAGGGTTTCTACGCTTCGGCACGTTTAGTTACAGGTACGGAGCATCGTCTCGGGCACGGTAATAGTCTGTCAATCTGGAGTTGTCACTTTAGTTAGGATACCAGTGCCATTGCTATAGTATAAATTTCAAAATGGCACATCGCCCATCGCGTCATCTCTCAGATTACTTTGACACGTGCTGTGATTGGGTCAGAGGGTTTCCTTCTCCGCGGTACCAATGACTCGCGTGCCTCTCCGCAGTCGGCTCGGTATATTCTGAAGGCACCATTTTTGACCTGCTCGCACCGCGTCGCCGCCACGGACAACCTACGAAAAGATGCGGTCGCAAATCCTTCGTGCTGGTCAAGCAGCCAACTGCAGGGTGAGTCTACACATGCCATTGGCCGCTCAACATCTCTCCAAACCTCATGCGACTTTCGCAGTAGTCATTGTCATCGCGCTTCTCTACTACACCTTCAAACAGCACAAAAACGCTGACATTACCTCTATAGCCCCATCTCTCCTCCCTCCGCCAACCGCTCAGATGCCTAGCCACATCGCACTCGCCGCCCTCCGCGCGCAATGTCGACCTCGGCTCGCGCACCCCACCGTACGCCAAACTGCTCTCGCGGCTCGAAGAGGTCCGGCGCGTACTCGGTTCCTCTCGCCAATTGACTTTGGCAGAGAAGATCCTATACTCTCATCTTGAGAGCCCCGAGGAGTCGCTGTTGAGCAATACCAATGGCGGGAGGGATATTCGGGGTCAGGCGAATCTCAAGTTGAAGCCGGATCGCGTGGCCATGCAGGATGCGAGTGCGCAGATGGCGCTGTTGCAGTTTATGAGTTGTGGGTTGCCGAGTACGGCTGTGCCTGCTAGTATACACTGCGATCATATGATCGTAGGAGAGAAAGGCGCCGATACCGACCTTCCACAATCGATAGCGGGTAACAAGGAGGTTTTCGATTTCCTCGAGTCGGCGGCGAAGAAGTACGGAATCGAGTTCTGGCCACCGGGCGCTGGCATCATCCATCAGTCTGTGCTGGAAAACTACAGTGCTCCTGGGCTCATGATCTTGGGCACGGACAGTCACTCACCGAATGCTGGAGGTCTGGGATCGATTACAATTGGTGTTGGTGGTGCCGATGCGGTCGACGCTCTTGTGGATGCGCCATGGGAGTTGAAGGCACCCAAGATCTTGGGTGTGAAGCTTACCGGAGAACTCAGCGGATGGGCATCGCCAAAGGATGTGATCCTGAAATTGGCTGGCGAGCTGACCGTCCGGGTATGTCATTGTGAACATGGCGAAGTACTCCTGGCTAACGCATGTGCAGGGTGGCACTGGCTTCATCATTGAGTACTTTGGCCCTGGTGTGCAATCTCTAAGCTGCACAGGCATGGCGACTATTTGGTGAGACCCTTACATAGTTCGACTCGTGGACAAGTACTAATACGATATAGCAACATGGGCGCTGAAGTCGGCGCAACTACCTCGCTCTTCCCCTTCTCTCCTGCGCATATCCCCTACCTCCAAGCCACACACCGCGGACCGATCGCTGAAGCCGCTGCCAAGATCGCCGGTTCACCAATGCAGCAGAACCTGCTACGACCTGACCCGGATGCCGCTTACGACAAAGTTATTGAGATCAATCTTTCGGAACTCGAGCCTCATATCAACGGACCATTCACCCCTGACCTATCAACACCTCTATCAAAGTTCAAGTCTGTAGTTGAAGAGAAGGGATGGCCACAAACATTCGGTGCGGGCCTGATTGGTAGCTGCACAAACAGCTCATACCAGGACATGACACGGTCAGAAGAGATTGTGAAGCAGGCACTGGCAGCGGGTTTGAAACCCAAGGCAGACTTCTTCATTACACCGGGCAGTGAACAGATCCGAGCAACGTTAGAACGGGATGAAACCCTTCAAACTTTTACTGCTGCCGGTGGTACTGTACTGGCAAACGCTTGCGGGTGAGTTCTTGTATGCCCTGAACCAAGATTAAGTACTGACAACCTCGACGTCCTTGCATTGGGCAATGGAAGCGTACAGACGATGTAAAGAAGGGCGAATCCAATGCTATCCTCACCTCCTACAACCGCAACTTCCCCGGCCGCAACGATGGCAACCGAGCTACCATGAACTTCCTCGCTTCTCCCGAACTCATCACCGCCATGTCATACTCTGGCTCTACCACCTTCAACCCAATGACCGACAGCATCCCTACACCCGACGGCAAGCCTTTCAAGTTTGCGCCGCCAAAGGGCTCTGATCTTCCCACCGCTGGTTTTGCAGACGGTAACCCAGACTTCATGCCTACGCCAGGTGTCCCCGACGCCAGCGTGGATGTCATTGTCTCGCCTACATCCACCCGTCTGGCACTCCTTGATCCTTTCCCAGCATTCCCTGGCTCGGAATTTACAGGCCTGCGAGTTCTCTACAAGGTCAAGGGACAATGCACAACAGACACCATCTCGGCTGCCGGTCCATGGCTCAAGTACAAGGGCCATCTCCCCAACATCTCCGAGAACACACTCATCGGTGCAGTCAACGCACAGACCGATGAAGTCAACGTTGCGTACGACTTCGACGGTAAGACGTCGGGTATCCCAGAACTAGCAAAGAGGTGGCGCGACCAGGGCATCGAGTGGCTAGTCGTAGCAGAGCACAACTACGGCGAGGGCTCTGCCCGTGAACACGCCGCCCTACAACCGCGATACCTCGGTGGCCGCATTATCCTCGCCAAGTCATTCGCCCGTATCCACGAGACCAACCTGAAGAAGCAAGGTATCGTCCCACTCACCTTCGCCAACGAAACCGACTACGACGCCTTCGAAGCATGCGATCAGGTTGCTACAAGGGGACTGTTGGACGTGTTGAAGAGCGGCGGCAAGGGCGAAGTCGAGCTTATCCTGAAGAAGAAGGACGGCAGCGAGAAGGTCGTCAAAACCAAGCACACACTCTCACACGATCAATGTGGATTTGTGATGGCTGGCAGTGCGCTCAACCTTCTAGCTGCGAAAGGCAGGGAGATGAAGGAGGAGGTTACCCGGAGTGCGGAGCTGACTGATTGAGTCAATTTTGTATAAACAAGCAAAAGTGAGCATCTACGGCGCTATTGGTGTCACGGCGCATAAAGTATCCTAGCAATAGACTATTCCCGGTCAAATGAATACGCAATGAATTACCTACAACCAAACCGAAGTAAAGAGTGGCAGCGTGGTTTTGATGTTCGGCCCTCCCCCACCAAAGCCCAAAAAAAATGACTGGCAAACCTCATCTGCCCACCTCCCCACAACATCATCTCAACATGCACAATGAAAACAGACAAGTGAGTGTATGGCAGCAAAAGGGAAGCAAAAAGCATCTCGGGCGGGGCTCGAACCCGCAGCCTTTGGATTAACCATGGATACAGTTAGTAGAAGTCCAACGCGCTACCATTGCGCCACCGAGACCGTCAAGCGGAAATAGAGACTTCTGGCATTTTCCCAAAGCCGTGCGTATATATAGCGGACATTTTGATTGACATGATGAAGACGGAGAATGTGTGCTGCATGAGGGAATGACCGATTGAAGTTTGCATGTGAAGTTTGGAGGGTGCCACGTCACGGGCGCGAAGTGGGGGTGTGCAGACATGGTTCGTTTCTTTGTTTGACACCGGGTGTGGTGGGCTGAGCAACACCGGATTGGAGTGAATAAGGAAGACACTGATGTTATTGTTTGGATGAGTTATGTCGAGATTTTGTGCTTAAATCTCAAAGGGTACTGCTCTATGTGCGGTCGCACGAAGCTGTGCTACCTCAACGAGGCGTGCCCATGCTAACGACTCATCAGCAGCCAAGGTCGCGCGCGTGTTAGATATACTGTTGTATTCACCCCATTCATCATACGTCCACGGCTAGAGCTACGAGCGGGAAAGTCCACATCAAATCCCCTCGATCTTCTCAATCATCTCCAACATAACCTCATCCGTCAGTTCATCCACTTCTCCATCACCGCCCTTACTCCGCTCACACACTTGCCGCAGCTGCAGACGATTCGACTCCCAACTAACCCACGCAGCAGCCTGGAGGAAGCAATCTGTGACGTCGTCCAGCTTCTTGAGCGCGGTGCCCGCGACTGCTGCTGCAGGAAGCACATCGTCTGAATCATCCTTGGTCTTCTTACGTCGTTTGGATGTTGATAGCGACAGGAGCGCTTGACGGGTGCTTTCTGCATCTGGCGCGAAACTAAATGTGATACCCGGTACCGTGTCTTGTGTTACCGATGCCGTGGAAGCGGGGGTTGCGGTGAGCCAGGAGCGGAGGAGAGCGATTTTGACCTTCTTTTCTGCTTTGGATCGACTTAGCGTCTTTTTGGGAGTAGCCGCTTCATCTTCGTTGCTCCCGCTTGGTTTTACGGCTTCTTCGTCTCCTTCCGTAAGGCGTCCAGCAGCTCGGGTGAGCCAATACTGGCCCACGCGTTTGGGATCTGCACTGAAGACTTCGTAGAGCTTTGCTGTAGTCGATGCTGAAGCTCCCTTTTCTAGTCTTTGGGCGTATATGGTTTGAAGCACAGCCCATAGCATGCCTTCTAGAGTGTTGACCCGCAAAGTCCACTGTTGCACCGCGCTTCCACCGCCAGATCTCCACCTTTGCTTTTCGATCAAGATGATGTCTGGCGAGCCGGCTAGAATCTTGTTCTTGATCAAGCCATACGCTGTCTTGGACAAAGCATCCGCAGAATACATGTCCGATGCTTCGTCAGCACCCTCAGTACGTTGCTTTGTGGTCTTGCCCTTTCGTGGAGATTTCTTTTCGCTCTGTATCTCCTCCCCTGGGGCTTCAGTGAGGTTAATCTTCTCCCATCTCAAAACCTTCATGTCCGCATCCAGGCTATCCTTCGATGGGTAAGAAACCTCCGC